GCTGTGTATGTGTATCTGCGTGGCAATTTTATTGAGGTTTAAAAATGTATAAAACATACATTTTTGCTATTTCTGTGACTGTTTTACACATTATAAAATAAAGTGCATTTCTCCAATGGTGTATTTATAATTATATTTTGTTTGTTTTTTTATTTCATGCTTTTTTATTTCTTTGACTTTTAGCCTGACACAGCTTTAATGCTCATGAAGTTTCACGAGACTGAACTTACTGCAAATGTATGTGGGTCAGTGCCAAGTGTAGCATTTACATTTTCTATAAAAGCATTCACAGTGTTTCCCCCGTATTCTGACATCACGTGTTTACCTTAAGGTACATAATCCTTACATGAAAAACATGCGTGAACACTGGCAGACGCTTGCATGCCTCATTTGCTTGTGAGGGAACTGGGGTTTCATGTCATTTAGCTGTGATTGGTTTGTACTGGGAGTTTTGCTGTGAGACACAAAACACACCAGCTGAACATTTGCCCTCCACCAGACAAGATTGCCGCCGTGTGTGGATTTTAGCGTGTGTTTATATAGTTAGTCTGCTGGCCAACCTTTCTTTTACGCTTTGGTGGTCAACGGTGATTGATCACATGTCCTTGATAGCCCCGAGGTTGTAACACTGACCTTCTGCAGGAGTAAATTCAGGGCAGATAATTGACTGTTTAGCAATTAACCACTAAACAGGAAGGTATCACTAACCTGCCAGGCTGCGTTCAACTGCAGTCAGCATGTTTCATCTCTCCACAAAGACATTTGTTCACATTTGTGCAGTTCCCACAGGAAAATCTCAAAGCAAAGCTCAAAGGCTGTTGGGGGTTTTTTTCTGTAAGAAGGAATGAAAAAAGATAATCGAAGGAGCCAAAACCTTGTCATAAAAAAGAAAATGTGAGAATTAATGTTCATATCACTGCGAAATTGGACGTTTCAGATTCGATTCGAGTTCCTGAAACATGTGCACCTGACATGCTGTTATCAAAAAGGCACTTTTGCATGATAAATGGAGGATTATAGAGTGTGGGCCCTGGCACGTTGCTCAAGGTGATTTGTTATGAGCATTATTGCGCAATCTTTAGCCAGATGAGTCATGAACAGCTGTGTGTTTTTACACACTGCCCCAGAATAGCTCCATTCCAGCTCTTCAGCGTTGTAATTCTCTTAGCTAAATCATTGTCTGTTCCTCATTTAAATATTGGCAACATGTGGCCTTACTTTAAATAAAGTCCAAACAGCATTAAGTCAAATTAGGTTTCCTCAGATGCCGTCTCTGTTTCTCATATGTTGCTCACAGACCAAACATGGCTTTTGCGTACGTCAGTGGGTTTTTTCGTTACACACAACGAAAAGATGCTTATGTTCACAAACAAATCTTTTCTACAAGAACGTTGTGACAAATCGGTTCCTACAAAAATCTATAAATTGATGAAATTGGTCTGAACAAGTGCATCAAACCCACAGAGCCTCACTCTATACTACTTTCTCCGTGCGCCTTTTTTAAAAGAAATCCCCTGTGTTTAATTTTTTTTTCTTCTTAAAGACAGAAGTCAATGGGGAAAATGGCAGAAGAATGGAGGGAAAGAAAAGCAGAGGGAGGTGAGGAGGAGGGTTGTGAAAATTACCATTGGCTGCCACCCAGGGCCCAGTCTTTGTGGTAATGAAGGGTTAGAAGCAACGTTATTGCTCCCAGATGCCGTGCGGCTTCTCCGCAGGCCTTTGATGCATGGCCCAAGTCACCAGGATTTTTCTATCAGACTCCCATCAACATACACAGTAACGCACCACCGCACACACGTGCACGCACACATACGAAGACATCCAGCCTCTTAAAACAACATGGATGCTATAAACGAGTATCTTCATGGTTTCGCCAACCAAACTACTCCGATTTGTTTCAGAGTGTTAATTGGTTAATGTTCCCATGTATGTGTGTGTTTTGGTGTTTACCACCTCCAAGTGTGTGTGAGAAATGCCCATATTCGAACGTTTTATGTGTTTGACTCTTTTAGATATTTTTTGGGATGGCGTACGGAGTGGTGAAGTTCCTTTACGAATCCAGAAGTGAACTTCTCCTGACTCTCTATAATGAGCCTGCTCTTACACACTAGCAAAACAAAACCATGAAAAGCACTTTGTTCACACACTGCTCCAAATACCAACTACTAAGTGCCCGCCTGTAGTGTGTGTGTGTGTGTGGTGTGGGTGTTCAGACGGAAAAAAAAAACCCCATAAAAACCCCCCAACAAGGATCACACCTGTGTTTTGTGTACAAGTGAAAAAATGTAAACGTGTTTAAAGAAAATATCAAACTAAACCTAAAAAGGTGTATTTTTGCAGCTCAGTCTGGTGGTAATCAGCCTCTGCTATTTCTGCATTGATGCCAATACAATTACAATCAATCTAAAGAGTAATGGAAACTCTGTGGAATATTAATTAAGTAATGACAGATGGATTTAGTCAAACACTGTGACTAATTTTCTCAAAGCACCTGCCTAAAAAACGTCCCATATAATAAGCAGAACACATTTTACGCCCATCTGTCTTTTAACATAGGATAACCTGATAAAAATGAACAATGTAACCATTATGAAAGAAGGATTTACCCAATTGTGCCCAGTTTCACTCTTTCATGAGGATAACTTATGGTTCACTATGAAAGATGAGACCACGGATGCTCATCTAGAGCTGAAATCCTGCTTAGCAGCTATCAGAATCAGGAGCTTCGTGTCCAAGTGAGCCCAAATGACCTGTTGATGAATGTGTGTGTGTGTGTGTGTGTGTGTGTGTGTGTGTGTGTGTGTGTGTGTGTGTGTGTCTACTTGAAGCTTGGTCCTGTGCAGAGAAAGTGTGCATTTCAGACCACATGTGTGCATCTGCAGGTTTGTTTTCTCATGCGTCCCTGCGAGTGTGCTTAACATCTGAAATCTGTAACGTTGCCCACTCACACTGCCTGGATTTTATAGGAGCATATGGCAAAGCACTCAAGCACCTACTTCCCCCCCAATCCTAGTACACACACATAAAAAAGAAACACATGCACACACAAGAAACTGGCTGACTAATAATGGTCTTATTTGATGTTGCAATAGGACAAATACATGGACAGTCTTAGCAGATATCTGGTATTCATCAATTTGTTGTTTGACTTTCTGGCATGTGTGGTTGCCAGACTGATCAAACCTCAAACTCAAATCTTCCACTCTCGCATCATCTGCACCCCCCACTAATATTCAAGAAAACTCAAGAAATCATTTGTATTTCTCTCTTACTGTTGCTGTTCTTGTATAACATAGTTATTCTCCATGTTGGCGTATTTTCTCTTTACCTTCCCCACATCATGTGCACATTCGCTGCCCCTCCTCTTCTCCTGTTTCCATTTTTCCTGACTGGATTTACTGGCCAGAGGAGAGGAAAATGTATGAATCAATCCAAGGTTGCTCACTCCCAGGGAGAGGGAAAGCCAGAGAGTGAGAGGAACAAGGGAGGGGAGGGGGTGAAGAAAGAAAAGAGATGATGGTGAAATTGAAGAAAAAGAGAGAAATGGGGGGATGGGAACTCACCAGTTTTATAAAATAATGATGTCAGCTTTCAGCGGCCTGGGGTGACTTCTTGTGTAGCCGTCTTTTTTTTGGGTAGCGGACACCTCGGCGTACGGGCGCTGCCAAATGTGTTTGTGTCTTTATGTGTGTCTCTGTGATGTTTTACATGCATTCAGGGGATATGACCATTTGGCTGCACAGCTCATAAATCCTTTGATGAAGGAGTTTGTCACACATTCAATCCCCGTCTGTCTTGCTCTCTCTGTGACACACACACACACACACACACACACTCACACACACACACACACACACATACACACAAACACATGCTGAGTTGGGCAGGGCAAGTCCGTGGTTAGCCATCCAGATGGTTTTAAGGTTAGTTAGAGACTACGCTCAAAAGGTGCTGTTTGGAACCAAAGCAGGGTGTGTGTATGTGTGCGCATGCCCGTGTGTGTGTGTGTGTGTGTGTGTGTGTGTGTGTGTGTGTGTGTATTTCTGTGTCTGTGTTTAGAGAATGTTTGTAGAAACTCACCAACCTCATGCTATTTTTGGAATCTCATTTTGTTAATTCTCATTTTATTGTCGTTCACACACACACACACACACACACACACACACACACACACACACACACACACACACACACAGCATATTATGCACCGTGACTCAAGAAACTGGATTTTCTATCAATAGACTTTGAGAAGTCCAACTGCGGCATATATATATATATACATGTGTGTGTGTGTGTGTGTGTGTGTGTGTGTGTGTGTGTGTGTGTGTGTGTGTGTGTGTGTGTGTGTGTGTGTGTGTGTGTGAGAGAGAGAGAGTTTATTTGCTTGAGATAAAGATAGAGATCAGACTGAGCTGACAAACTTTGAGGTTCCCTGATTCATAAATAGTTGGACGTCTGTGTATCATATGTTGTGTGCAAATTTACAAGTACAAGAGATTTCTAGCCTGGAACGCTCTCCCTCTCTCTTTCTGTCTGTGTGTTTCTCATTTGTTGCTTGCTCTCTCCCCCCCCACCCCCTTGACTCTGCACAACTGTAATCAAAACCACAGACTGTACTTTCCCATCCATCTCCTTTGCTTTTCTTTCGTCTGCTGTAGAACTGAATGTGCGAGCTTTTGCTCTTCATTTCCGCTGACCTTTTTTATCCGCTTGTCTCTTTTAGCCTGCTATCTTTTTGTCTGTATCAGCAGCGCAAACTAATGACTCAAAAACTTTTTCACACACTCACCATTTACTATATATGTTACATAATACAATTGTATGCGTAGCTCTAAATTTCACAGCCCAGAGTGATCATAATGCAGCATCTGCACTAGTTTTTCCTTTAAAGCGACTCTTTTTTTATACAGTGAGAGTATCTGCATGACCCTTTCTCCTCTTTATCAGGGAAGTCTTCCTCCTCGTTCTACTCACTGCTGTGTCTCTTTCACCCCCTGCAGGAGAAGGAGAAGAAGTACATGCTGCAGGTCGACAACCTGAAGCTGCGCGATGTGGAGAAAGGCTTCATGTCCAGCAAGCATATTTTTGCCCTCTTCAACACCGAACAGAGGTGTTATTAGACACACACATTAACACTGTAACGCAGAAACAACTTAAATGCACCACAGCGTTAAAAGTTGCTCTTTTGCCCACTTTTATGTTTACATTAAATGAGTTTTGGGATTTCTGTGTGACAGCCAGTGAGGATGTAGTTGTAAAGCTTAAAGAATATCCCGATATTGGGGAAGTCTGCAGATAATTTAAAGTCCTAAGTAAAAATTATTCCAATGTAAAAGGACAAGAGTATAATAAAAATGAACTTAAATTAAGAAAGTAAAGGTTTTAAATTGTGCAGAGTGCCCTTTCCAGCGTTGCATGACATTTTTAAGTATCTACATGTAAGCCAGACTTTATTGTTGTTACTGTTGTAGATAAGAAGCACTAAATTATACTTTGGGGCATTTTAATCCCAAAAAATGATAAGAGTTTTGTATCCAAAACAAAAAAAAGTAGATTAAAAATGACCAGAATTATAAAGTAAATGTTGTGAAGTAACAAAAAAGCTATTTTTGTAGTATAGTGGAGTAGAAAATATGAAGTAAGATAATATAAAGTGAAAACAGAAATTCTGGAGGAAAGAACAAGTTCCAAGTTTTTACATTAAAGTGACTGTATTTAGTTACTAACCTTCACTGGTGGAAGGACGTACAGCTGATGAGACGGGACTATTGGAGTGCACTGCTCACACTGTGTCTCCACAGAAATGTGTATAAGGACTACCGTCAGCTGGAGCTTGCGTGTGAGAGTCAGGAAGACGTTGATGCCTGGAAAGCCTCCTTCCTCAGAGCCGGAGTTTATCCTGAAAGGGTCACGGTAAGATTTCATCTAAAGCACACGTGCACAGACAACACTGTGACGCAAACACTCTCACAAATGTGGAATTTATTCCCACTTCATATTATTTGTGTCCAGTAGTAGCTCAGGTGGTTGCTGTGATGTTTCCTTCTGCAGTCTCTTTTAATGTTATTGTGTTTCTCATTTGCCATCTGTCCTTTTCAATGTCTTTTATCTCTCATTGCTATTTGGCGTTGTAGGAGAAGGAAGGAAAGGTATGTTATTCTGGGTACTAGATCACTTTTCTGTGTTTTCTATGTAAAGCATGAACTGTACTTTTACTTAAATGGACCTGTACCTGAGTTGTGTAGCTGACAGTGATCAGTAAATGGATAGTTTAGCGTAATCATTAGGAGTAGATTTTTGAACCACTGATAGGGAATCACCTTGCTGGTGCAAAGATAGCATTTTATGCCTATCAAACTTTGTAAATTTGACTAAATAATCTTTTCTTAATCCCTTGAGTTAGGTGAACTTGTTATGGCTTAACAAACAGGAAAAAATAATCCAGTGAAAGTGGTCAGTTAGGAGGACTGGACTGAAAATGAGTGAAAAGCCAATAAATGTCTAAGCCGTGTCCAATAGAAAGTGTGAAAGATCTTCAGAAAACCTGAAGAATTATTGCTCAAGACCATGTTAAAAATTACTAGAAAGTCTGAGTTCTTGGAAGCAAAATATAAAGAAATTCTTTTTATTTAATTATTTTCATCCACATTTAACTACACTGATGAATTGTGTGTTCATCATTCAGCTGGTAATATAATTTCCTGGAGAAAACCTTTTCCTTCCTGTCATTCCTGAAGTGCTATCACCCTCTCTGTAACTCTGCTACACACACATTTTAAAACAAACCCCTAATTTGTCTCACAGAGTGATGGTGGTGATGAAAATGGTTCTGACAACCTCATGCACAGCATGGACCCTCAGCTGGAGCGGCAAGTGGAAACCATCCGCAACCTGGTCGACTCTTACATGGCAATCGTCAACAAGACCGTCCGCGACTTGATGCCGAAGACCATCATGCATCTCATGATCAACAATGTGAGTCTGCTGCTGTTGTCTCGTATGTCACGCTGAGACGACAGGACTTTGAGATTTGACAGACAGCGTGCTGTGTTTCTCTCCCTCTGCGTGCAGACTAAAGAGTTCATTAATGCTGAGCTGTTGGCCCAGCTGTACTCATGTGGTGACCAGAACAGCTTGATGGAGGAGTCTCAGGAGCAGGCCCAGCACCGTGACGAGATGCTGCGGATGTACCACGCTCTGCGGGAGGCTCTCAACATCATCGGCGACATCAGCACATCTACTGTAACCACCGCCATGCCACCACCCGTGGACGATTCCTGGCTTCAGGTGCAGCGTAGCGGATCTGGAGGACGGTAAGGCACATGAGACATCAGACTGTGGGACTGAGAGAGTACGTGTGGGAACAGGTTGGGGAGAACAAATATTAAAAGCCCATGTCTAATTCTGACATATGGTCAAGTAAATAAGAATATTCTAAAAAGACGCAGCATCTGACTTATTGACACTTTCCTGATGTTTTTCTCCTTTTATGTTCCTCTCTTCACTTCTACTTTCTTATCAAGATCTCCGGCCACCAGTCCAACTCCAAACCGCAGGGCTCCACCAGGACCCCCGGCCCGTCCAGGCTCTCGTGGTCCTCCACCTGGGCCTCCTCCTGCAGGGGGTCCCCCTGTCCCTTCTCGCCCCGGAGCTTCTCCTGACCCATACAGTGGGCCACCACCCACCGTGCCCTCCAGGCCTAACCGCGCACCCCCAAGTGTGCCTAGGTGAGTGGAAACTCTTCCATCATAGAGTAAGCCGCAGTAGATTTTACAAGGACACTGACATCCAAACTACAATTTAAGATAATGTGACGTCACCAAAGCTGAAGTGTGGATACTCTCTGTTAACAAGGGGGATGTGAAGACGCCCGGATGAGGGGATAAAGGAGGTAAAGGACAGTAGAAAGCGCTGGTTTTGATAGAGGATAGATTAATAGGCTGGTAGATTGCTAGTTATCCCCATATAGGCACTACAACTACAACATCTCACTAATTTCTTTCACCTTGCTAGTATCTTTCAGCCATCACCAAACTTTCAGCACGTTGTCAGGCATCACCTGTTAAATAATCTGTTGCTAAAAGCGAGGTCGTCTGGATTCCTTTGAATTAAAACATGATCTGATGAATGAAGGGGAGATGGGAATGTGGAGGGGCTTCCTTTCTGGTATTCATTAATTGTATGCATTTAAAATCCCCCCCCCCCTTTCCTGTGTTTGTGAGCTAGCTAACCTCTTTAACCTGGGGCTAACTGTCAGTAGCTCACCTGTTTTACTGTAGAGGACGCTAACGTGGCTGAGCGAAGCTCTCACTGGAAAATGACAGCTTTTTAACATCTTCACTAAAACTAATCTGTTTTAAGTGCCCATTTTTCATCTTCCAATCCAGTTTTTCTGTACTGTGAGCTGCCATGAGTGAGAGCTTCGCACATGCGATGTTGGTCATTTCCTGCGCTGTAACTGTTTGCGCTCCTTTTCTCTCTTCTGTCTCCTCTTCTTCACCCCTCCGTCCCCTGCCACACCTCTGTCCCACACACTGCTATGGTTCCTTCTACAGAATCACTATCACTGACCAGTGAGGACTAACATTACTGGTACGTTGGGTACTGTCTGCAACCATGATCATCATCATCACAACGACTTTCCTTCTTTCCCTTTCTCACAGAAACCATCCCTTTCACTGCATGACCTTTTCCTTTTCTCACCACTGTTTTCTCAGAGGGCTGCATGAGCAAACACACACCCGGCGCAGAGTGTGTGTTTGCATGTTTGCATCAGTGGCTTGAGCTCAATTCAAGCTCAGTCTGATGTTATTTTGTCTGTAAAGAGCACCAAAGGAGGACATTTTGTCAGTGTAGGCCAGGGGTGTCCAATGCCAGGCCTTGAGAGCCGGTGTCCTGCAGGTTTTAGATGTATTCTTTATCCAACACGGGTGATTTAAATGGCTAGATTACCTCCTCAGCATGTCTTGAAGTTCTCCAGAGGCCTGGTAATGAACGAATCATTTGATTTAAGTGTGTTCACCCAGGGTGATATCTAAAACCTTGAGGCCTGGAGTTGGACACCCCCGGTGTAGGCCAAGAAGACTCGCAACAGATGTCCGGGACCTAACTAATGTTGGTGCTGTGTTGTATATGTGTGTATGCCACAAAATCCCTCCCATACCTGCTTATATCGATGTGTCTGATGCTTTCTTTTAGTGACACGGTGCTCTGTTTACCAAAATCACTTTTCTTTGCAGGATTTAGTTAATGTGGAGTAGCCCTACTGGTGATTTATTTTTTAGGTAAATACTCTATAGTTTAACTAACAAATGTATTACCCTTTAAGAGCACTTGGTAAGTACAAGCCATATCTTCATTTATAAATAATAATGAGATTATAAAATTTTTCTTTGGAGAATAAGTTGTATAAGCTGCCATCAGCAATCCCAGCTAGCTTTGCAAAAAGATCAGACACTAGACTGTGACTGTTGAGGTTATTTGAGTACAGTAGTTTCCTATTCTCACGTTAGGAAACCAGTTTGAGATGATTTGAGCTCTGAGTTTGTGTGTGGGACAAAGTGGGATGCAGTCATAATGCAGGGCTGGGAGGTGGCCAGATAAATTGTATTTGAACACAATGTTTCCAAGTTTCTCGCTAAGAAAAGAGGAATAAAAGGAAGCCAAAGTTCGTTCTCATGGTCTCAGGCGATGGATGCTATACTGTACAATATATACGCCTATATTCTCCATTATGTTACTGTTGTTTCGGCTGCTGTACTGTCTGTTAACAGTTTTTGAGTTGTAGTTTGAATGTAACTGTAAATGGGCATATATTTCTTTTGAGCCATATCTGCCATTGTCTTGCAAAATCTGCAAACCTTGTGAATGTTTTGGTAACACTCACTGACCAGGCATAGCATCATACGTAAGAGAATCGACAAACAGGCAATACCAACAGGTATATCATATGTGCAATGGTACAGAGCGCAAAGATGTTAGACTAAATTATGGAGTGAATAAAAGATGGTTCGCCCTAACTGGGAATAAGAGAGTATATCTGCATCTCTAAAATGTCACACATTCATATTTGCTTACATGTTTACCTTCAAGCAAACACTTTGCATTTGTACAAGTCAACTTCTCTTTGTTGTGTTTAACAATCAGTTTAATCTTCCCTTCAATCAGCAACAACTGCTGCTTAAAACTTTAATGCCTATCAGTGGATTTGCTCTCCTGTAGCAGAACTACAACTGAACAAACTGCACGTTACTGTAGATAAACAGCAGCTGGATGTGCAGGAACACCGCCTTCACTTAACTGAGCTTCAAATCTTTGTCACGTTGGTTGTATTTTTGGATGCCTCCATGTGTTACTTGAAGATACAGTATTTCTGTGTGTTTGTGCATGAATGTACACATGGGGGCTGTAAACCTGTCAACAGGGAGCAACGGCACTAATCCAGTCTCTCCTTTGTGCTTGTGTGTCCACGGCAGTCGGAGACCCCCGCCATCTCCAACCCACTAGACTCCCTGGCTCCTCCGTCCTTCCCCTCCTCCTCCGTTTAATTCTCCCCTGGATGAGAGGCCACAGACAACAGCGCCACCCTCCTGTCGTTTTCTGCCTCGTCTGACCTGAGCTGGTTCCCAGCTCCTGCTTCTCCCTCGCTTCCTCTTCTTTCCCTCCTCCTCACCTCCACCTCTCTCCCTCATACAGTGACGCAGAATACTTGAATCACACTTGCATGACTTACAAACATGCTGCACCCTGAGAACTCAATCTATGTAAAGACTGATGAAGCAAATCAGTTAGCGTGTGCACGCACGCAGTATACAGTCTAGTAAACATGTGCAAACACGTGCAAACACTTAAACACGGAAACATTTTTCCTGCTTTTAAACTAAAAGGGTAGACATTTAGCATGAAGCTATGCCTGAGTATTTCTAATAAGTATTCTCTCTTATTATTCTCTCATTCATCAATTGTTCTTTTATTTCATGTTTATTTATTTTCTTCCTTTTTTAAGGAATCCTTCCCTTAAAAAAAGATGAAATTTTAGGGATAAAGCAGAAATTTAGAATTTTTCGCTGGCAGATTTTCACAACGGTTTCAGATAAAATGGCACAAATTCTTCAGTTCACTTAAACATCCACTAATACCAAGAACTTGCAACATACTTCATGGTAATTTGATGGATACTTTGACTCTGTAAATACTGGTGTTGTGCAGAGAGTAAATGCTTTAGTTCCTCTGCAGCATTTCAGCCTCGGAGTTAAAGTAAGAGGCAGAAAATGTTTCAATCAGCAGAAGTGACGATGGATAAAGTATTTCATAAGGGAGGTGATGCAAGCTGGACTTTTTTGTAACTCTGGTGTCTTCTCACTGCACTATTCAGAGTTTGAGTTAATGTGTTATGGCAGTTTTCCATATTCGAGTGTGAAGGCGACTGACTTTAATCAAGTCCGCTTGTGAGCTAAACTATAAAGAACAAACCGTGAAAGAGGAGGTCTGTCTCACACCCTGCAAATCATGGTTTTCATTACCATTAGCATTGTTGTAAAAGTTGACCTGTTTCTCACGTGGCTGTAAAATATTATTGCTAACTAAACAGCCACTAGCTGTTAATGTTTGGCCTCGGTGTGGGTAATCTGTTGTATGTTAACCATCATGCATAGTTTAAAAGAACAGCTGGATTTTATTTCCTTGATGATTTTTAATATTCATCTGGCTGTCAGGCGATTCATCATTCAAAAATGTAATCTTACCAGATGATATCTCATGGCCACATCTTAATTACATAATTCCTATGCCGGAATAACCCGTGGCTACACATTACTAACTGGTGGCAAAGCAATAATATCCCCCTCACCCTGGAGGTGAACATCGTCATTTCTCTGGTGCCTCCTCACCATTACGATTTTAGTTGTAATCTCTTACTTGTTGTAATCTCTTCATCCTGGCAAATAAGATCGTCTTTTTATTTTCTCTCTTCTTTCCTATCACCTAAACAGCCGGTCAAACAAGGGCGGGCCCTCTCGTCCCGAGAGCCCCCTGCCACCATTCGACTCTTAGAAGGAAACATTCTCCCTGTTACCTCTTCTCCTTCTTACGCTCATCTCGCATTTATCCATCCACCCATCACTCACTCACTCACTCACTCACACGAGGAGAGGAAGGCTTGAATGAATAACAGAAGTAAAGGATCGCCTGCAAATTCTTCACCCTCAGATAGACGCTGCTGCTCTTCGTCCATTTTTCCTCCTCCTCTTCATTTCAGCCTTGCAGGACGGGAGGAACTGCCCGTTGTAGCCTCAGGAAGGCCCTCAGTGTCACTGTTAAATCCACCTGCGATTTAAAACTGCTGTTGTCTGTGCTTCCACACGACCTATGCAACAACTGACGTAAAAGGAAAAAAAAAAAAAAGATGCCTCTCCCGTTTCTTTCTTGCTCTCTGCTTCACACAAATGTTGTTACTGCATTATCTTTAAGCAAATGTGCAGCTTCAGACAACTGCAGGACACGCGAGACTCCAGCCTGAGAGGAAGGGAGTCTTTGGCCTGGGTTGAAGCTCTGTGACTGTTAGCTAGATAGCTCTTTACATATCCTTTTTATTCAGACGGGGAAAACAGGAATATTTGCCGAGTGAAAACATTCAGAATTTTAAGTCAGTTGATGATTTGCCATTTCTTCTCTTTTCCCCCCTTTTCCCCCCTTTTTTTGTTTGGTTTTGTCTTTTTTCCAGTGGTCACGGGGGTGAGTGAGAACACTCAAAAACAGCCACAGTCTATGCATAAAACTGGCATTAAATGAAAAAGCTCCTTCTCTTTCACCCTGTCATTTTACACGTGTGAGAACCTGTGACCCGTGCGAACCCACCACCTTTTCTACCACTGACCTCCACTGTCAGCGTGATGTGGTGTATTGTATTTTGAACCCAAGCAAAAAACAACCCACCAGCCACAAACAATAATCTGCTATTCATCCCTTGTGCATCTGGTACTCCACGACTGCAAAGTAAACACAACTAAGCATATTTTTCTTCTTATTTAATGGTAAATAGTTTATTATGGACATATCTTATTGTGTTATTCTGTATATGTGTGATGCATCTTATTGAACTTTCACTATCTAGGGAATTTAGTGTATGAAACCGCTGAATATTTAAATTATGACAAAATGAGTATATGTATAAGGAAGTAATGTTTTAAAAACTACAAAAAATATATACTACAATGATGTATATGGGCAACTGCAGGCTGTTGAATACTTTGGCTTGCAGCAGAGGGCTTTTGCTTTTCTTGTCCTTCTGTGTGTAGAATAGCAGCGAGGGGCGGGCTGAATGTGTGAAAGTCCTGCAGCGATCAGGTCCTGCGTCTTGTTTAGACTGATGTGCAGGACTGCTGTGCTCTGTCAAGACATTAAAAACTTCAGTGTGTAATCAGGGAAGTATGTCTTTGTGTCCTTTTTTTTTTTTAAATGCTGGTACATACTGGTGGTAACACAACTATACGGGAACTCGATAGCAGCTAATAATGAAACCACCAGACGAATGTGGACACAAAGTAAAATATCCTTATAGGAATATTCAAAATCCTGGCTGGATTATTCCAACCCCTTACTCAACCCCATCATTTACATATACATCTTCAAAAGCCTTTTCAGACCTTTCAAAAAAAATAACCAAGTGTCACTTCTACAGACTGTTCCAAAGGTCTTTCATAATTTCTTATTTTCCCCTCTTTTCTATCTTTTGGTACTTGGCACAAAAACACAGAGGTGGGACCAAGTCATTGTTTTGCAAGTCTCAAGTAAGTCTCAAGTCTTTATCCTCAAGTCTCAAGTCAAGTCTCAAGTAATGTCAGGCAAGTCAGAGTCGAGTCTCAAGTCATTGGTGTAAAAGTCCAAGTCAAGTCACAAGTCTTAGAACATTTTTTCAAGTCAAGTCTAAAGTCATAAAATTAATGACTCGAGTCTGACTCGAGTCCAAGTCATGTGACTCGAGTCCACACCTCTGCAAAAACACATAATTCGTTCCAATTTCTTTAGGTTAATCTACAAAAAATTCCAAAGATAACAGTTCAATAAAATAATATCTTTACATGTATTAGCTGTAAACTTGGCATATTTCATCTGAGGAAACAGGACAGATGAAACAAAAAGTGTCGCAAGTTTACAAACTACCTACAGAAGATGAACAGTATTTGAAACTTATGTCATTAAGAAACCAGAAAACAAATCTAGCAAAGACCTGAGAGATGCCTATGGCCCTTCAGTTAAACCAATTTCTGTTCACTGAAGCCTCATCAGAAATGGTCTCAGTGGAAAGGTGGCTGTCTAGAAGCCATCCTTAAGGATGGAGGCTGGGAGAAAAAGCTGAGGGATTCCAAGTTACACAAGAAATGGACTGAAAATCAGGGTTAACAGGTCTAATGGAGTCATGAATCTAAATATGAAGTTTTTGGTTCAAATCATCAATACATATGGAAAAGGGTACAACAGTGGGTGTCTATGGTCATCTGTAAAACATGGTGGAAGCTCTGTCATGATTTGGGGCTGCATTTCAGCCAGCTGCGTTGTGAATCTAGTCTAAACGTATACAATTAACAAGGAAAAGTGTTGTCAGATTTTGCTCCAGCATGCATTGCCATCTGAAAAGCATCTGATTAACAAAGGCTTCATTTTTCAGCATGACAAATATTTCAGACACACTTTAAATAAAATAAAAACACACACACATAAACCAATCGTCACATATGGGCTTTCACAAATAGGTTGCAGTTAAGTGGAAAGGTTCCTGCTTCAAGTGATGCCGTATAAAATATAGTCCATTTAAAGGGGGCGTGAAGGTTGCGTACAGAGGGATGCTGAAGATGTGGTCAAACCAGAGGCATATGGAGGACGCAAACTCTGGAGACTGAGGGGCAATGGCCTGATCAAAGCCTGCTGTGACACAGAAACATAGAGGTATGTGTGAAGGACCCGTCATGCTCTTCTGTCATCAGTCTGCAGCCTGGTGTTCCTCCCATCATGGGTCATGGGCTGCATGGACTTGTCTTCACCTTCTCGTCTAGCACAGTACTTAAAGACATTCTACTCCTTAAATTAGGGTTCAGTTTCTTTGTGTGTCTATCATACTCATCTTCACTCTCAAGGATTTTCCTTATTCATCTAAAAGAAAAGGAGGCTCTGGGATACCACTAACTGTGGAAGCAAATAAAAAGACCACCATTCAGCCTCCTTACAGCCTTGTTTAAGGTTTAAGAAGTTTATTTAGTTTAATAGGAAAATTTCTTGTTGTGCTATTTTGATGCCTGTAACCTGTCTGGAACTCCTTCTTTTGGACCAAATGGGATTTGGACTTTTAACTTTGTAACCTGCCTACCCACTCCTCCAGCCTTGCAGTTAAATTGGTACAAAACTGTAAGGCTGGTTAATAAAATGTCTTTCAATTCTGAAGTCTGCATTTGGGTCTTTTTACCCGTTTGAAATCATCACATTCTTTTGATCAGTTTGCATTTATTTATTTATTTTATAGAATGTGTTTATTTCAAGAAACGATAAAATCAACTAGGATAGGATCCAGCAGATGGATGTGTATAATGCCAGTTCACAGCCACAGTTCTTATAAGATGCTTTATATAATAGCCCTATGTAGTAGAGAGAATCAGATTGTCCCTGATGAGTGAGAACTTGGCAACAGCGGGAAGAAAGAACTCCCTTTTGACAGGAAGAAACCTCCAGCAGGGAGGGACAACCATCTGCTCTGATCGTTGTCCCATCAGGAGATCAGGGGAAAGAGAGGAGATAAAAGCGAGTGAGGGACAGATTCTTTGTAAAGCGCAGGATGAGCTTGATGACATCAGTGTGAGTTTCATGTGAAATGATATTTTAGATGAAAAACACCAGTAAGATGTGCATTCGTTGTTGTTTATTATTTTGGTTAAACCAGATCAACATTTCATAAATGAATGCTCAGAAGTCAAGCATCTACTGTAGTAAAAGAAGCAGAGGAAGGAGACATGAGCAAGAGTTGCTCAGGGGATATTCCCCAACCCGTCGCGACTGCTGTTTTCAGTGCATGTTATTAATTGTATGTCTATATGTCCAATTCAAGCACCACCACCAGGCGTCACTATAGTGCAGCCTGCAGCCTCCATCCAGACACAATCCATGTAGGACCTCACATAAGATTAGTTCCTTCTTCGTTTCTAACCTTTTAGAGATCGAAAGAATCCAAATGAGAATATTTTTATGAAGTGTAAAGTCATGTGTTTAGTTCCCACCCTACTGTAGCTCTGTTAATCTAAACAGCAGTCTTTCCATAGAAGCTGAACCCTCCACCAGCCAGGCTCAGACATCCATTAAGACTGAGTCAGGCTGCAGACATTCACGTATTAATCATTACTTCATTACTAAAAGCATTTATTATAGGTTAGAGATATCATATACGCTTCTAGATGTACGTGTCGGCCTCGAGTACATTCAATTAACTTTGTCTGACATCGATTTTCATGCTGTCGAAATTTCAAAATATGACATTTTTTCCAGTGGCAGAAACAAACTTCCATAAGAAGCCAATTTAGCGGTTTCACCGATAGGGTCCTGGCATTGTGGATGAAGGCTCAACAGAATCATAAAAGCACAGAGAAACAGTAGCTGTTATTAGTGATGATGATACTTATCCTATTATGATGGCAGCAGGTTGTAGTTTCTGTAAGTTGAGTTTTCTTTAATAATAATAAAAAAAAGAAAGAAATCAAGACAAACCGTTTTTCAATCAGCTTTATTCAGGAGAAGGGGAGAAATATTACTCAAGGGAAAAAAAAATCAGAAGGATTCTGTCAGAAGCAGCACTCATACAAATCAGTTCTCTCAACGATCCTTCATTTTCATCCTACGGTCACTTCGAATTTACATTAAAACTGATTAGTTGAGATGCTAACTTATTTTTCAAATAAATAAAATATTTTCTCTTTGTCAATCTTTGTACTGAATCACAGCCAGTCAGTGACCCCCAAACCCCCGACTCTGGACTAGCACGCATACAATACAAGCTGCCAGTAAATACTGCAGAGCAGCTTCCCCCCCATACACCAGGCATAATGAATATACAATATGTTACACAGGTACAGTATATACACCACCTCTTAAACAGTAGAGACAAGAAATACTTCCTCATTGCCATGTTTCAATGACGCATTTGAAAGGGAATTAGAAAACCTCAGAAATCCACACAGCTGTTATTATTTTACAAGCCCCAGAAAGTCCCCAAACACCTGATGTAGATTTATCTCTTGGTCTTACCCTTTGCTAAAAGCAAAAAAAAAAAGAAAAAAAAAAGGGACTGATTGCTAAGAAGCAGGGAAGAATGAGGGAGTCATTTTATTCAAAAGCACCTTTTTATGGCAAAGTGCAGAGGTTTAGGGAAGGTGCTGTTTACTTTCTCTGTAAAGAAACCAACATTGAGTACATACAACTACGACACAGTCCCATCTGACGTTGTATAATATACCTAAAATACCAAACTGCTTTCTACCCAATAAATTTGCCCAATAAATCAAGTGCGCGACTAATAATTTAATGAACATGCCCTTTAAAGCACAAGAAAGAAGATCTCAAAATTCAGAGACAAACATGTATGTGTAAAAACTTTTGCAAAAGTAGTCTCAATGAATTCATTTTTTGGATATGACCTTGCAGTGACCCCTTATCTTGCGCATTAAAAGTAAAAAAGGACACACAAAAAACAGAAGTTGCCTAAATTTAGTCTAAGTGAAAGAAAGGGAAAAAAAAAAATCAGCTGTGGTAATTTGAATGATTAATTATAAAGGGATGCAATTTCACAATTCAATCAATATAGTCTCCAATCTCTCTTAAAGCTAGACAGAGAAACTTGAATTTCAGCCCTGATGTTGGGAGTTTTCCCCAATGTCTTGACTTTTAATGCCCAAAGGAGATTTATTCAAGTGTTTTGTAGCCAATACAACTACCAGCTATAACAAATCAGTCCTACTTTATTCCTAATTTTTAAAAAGAGGAATTTCTTTTCTCAAAATCTAGATGGTCCCTTACCTGTAGAAATAATTTACTATCTCATTCGTTTAATCTGGCTAGACTGTGTCTCATCACACCTCCATCAACACTCAATTTAGCAGAATCCTCAGCGTGCGGCATGAAGCTTCATAGGATCCTCTCTCTTCAAAGAAGCCATGTTAGAAACACATCTGTCCCACCAGCAGCCGGAGCAGAGGTGGGATAAACGAGAAGCTATGTACAGTTTTAGTGCAATCATACTTATATAATCTGATAGAACTCTACAAAAAAAAAGAAAAAGAAAAAAAGAAAAACCCAAACAAAAAGAAAACAACCCCCACAAAAAAAAACCCAAAAAACCCCAAAACAAACCAAACAAAGCACAACGGACGCAATTTTGGCTGAGGAGGAAAACAGTTTGGATTTCACACGTACAGCCTCCACATACGCATGCTCACACAGT